ATAAATAAATAAATAATCTTTAAAAAAAAAAAAAAAAAAAGAGATGAGTTAGGTACCCTCATAAAGCCTCTTTAATAGCCATCCTGGGAGTTGTTGTTTTTTATACCATTGGGAACACCCCCCCCTTCTCATCTGTCAGTTGAATTCTTTTTTTTTTTTAAAGATTTTATTTATTTATTTGAGAGAGAGAGAATGAGAGAGAGCACATGAGAGGGGGGAGGGTCAGAGGGAGAAGCAGACGCCCTGCCGAGCAAGGAGCCTGATGCGGGACTCGATCCAGGGACTCCAGGATCATGACCTGATCCGAAGGCAGTCGCTTAACCAACTGAGCCACCCAGGTGCCCTGTCAGTTGAATTCTTAAAAATAACTGCATTTTAGGACTCAATTTTTAGGCTAAACATGGCATGCATTGAGGCAGATGGAAAACCTCAAAGGGCTTCCAATAACCTCCTGAAGGTCGTACTGTTGCCATGCCTATCACCCCACAAGGAGAACTCCTAATCCCTTTGCCCTCTTTGGTTCAAATTTGTTGTGGACAGCAAACCTTAAGGTAGACAAAGGCAAGGTGGGCTTTAAAGAGGAGACCCTTCCAGCTACTGTTCCTGTGACTATTGCTGTTGTTGTTCTCCCAGTAACTGCCTTTTCCTTTTTGGGGTTGACACATGGGAGAGAGAAGGTAAAGTCAAGAGAGAAGGATTCTCATCACTTCCTCTAGCCCACTTGTTCCCTTCATGGTCTGTCTGCCCAGTCTACTGATTTTCCAAACTACTTGTTTATAAATCAGAGAGTCACCTAGGGAGGTTTTCTTGTTGTTGTTATTTATTTATTTATTTGTTTGTTTGTTTGTTTGTTTGTTTATTTATTTAATGTTAACCAAGTAGTTTCCTAGGCCTCACCATCAGCTGTTATCCTTTTGGAAGTCTGGGGCTTGAATCTTGAAAATGTGTGTATTTCTTGAGTTATGCTAATGGTGCTTTTGATGCCCAGTTAGATTTGAGAATTATGGGATACCTGTCTCATCCTAACCTTGGAAGTTCTGAGTCCTAAGTCATAGGTCCAGTGGGACTTACAACATGACAAATAAAGCCACAGGTACCAGGCGTTCATGGACTAAGAGCCAAGTTTCAAGGAATGAAAGAGCATTTGAATTTACCTATAGTCATCCTGTTGTGGGTGTTGTCTTTTTAGTACCATATTTAAATATATTAGCTTTGTCCTCTTTTATATTTGTAAGTTGATGGAAAGGTCCATTTGAAGATGTGATGGGTAAGCTGATCACCCCCACTCCCCCTAAAAAAAAGATGAGACTAATAAAAAATGTATACTTTGTTTATATACATGTGATACCTAAGTAAATTTTTTATAAATAGGATCTACATTGTTTTTCTTCATAATCATCCATCTTTTTCCATTAGCGGAGTGTGGTCTTTTCTTAGTTTCTTTATCTTCATATTAATTTGAGAATTGTAAACATGTATTTTGATGGCCTTTGTCCATTGATGGAGTTTATGAGGGGCTGACTCCTCAGAGAGGGAGGAAATTATGGAGGAGGCAGCGTTTGAGCCAAGCCTCTAAAATGTGGGAGAAGATGTGAGTTTAGAGATTGGTATTCTCTCTTGTTGGGAGGATATTCCAGATATAGGAAAATGTGAGCAAAGTCAACAGGCATGTTTGAGAAACAGCAGGCCCTGCTCCCATGGGGCCAAAGTGTAGGCTCCTTGAAAGAAAAGAAGACTAGATTAGGGGCAGAATGTCAGGAGCTTTCTGTTTGGACTTTTTTCTGTGTATCATAGTTTTTATAGGGAAATGGACTCAGAATTTAAAATAGTAACTTCATAAATGTAATTGTAGCACCACATCTTAGAAAGCTAAAGTCTTTTATTTGAATTGTATTTCAGAACTTTAAAAACTACGTATGTGCAGGTGCCTGTATCATACAAAACAAATATCTTTAAGGGCTTTCTCCTGACACATACTTTGTGGTCCTGTGACTCTGTGGTGGGCTGGTTCTGAGAAAACTGGGATTTGGGACTACTGAAATAAATGATAACCTCATCATATGGAGAATAGCCTGAGCTGCATTTGGATCTTCTGCCTCTTAGGGTTTGGGCTTCTTCCTGCTTTAGTTGTTTTGTTTTCTCCTCCTGCTCCTTGCCCCCTGTCTCCAGCCCTCCCCTCTCCCACTAACATACAGGGACTTTGAACTTTATGCTTGAAGGTTTGTGTCATCTTTCTTTCCCTTTTGGGAACTAGTTGCCTAACCTTATGAGGTCCTGTTTGAAACTGGATTCTGCTGTGTTTTTAGCAACTGATGAAAGTTGCATATTGCTGTCTTTTCACATCTTTTTAAAGTTGAAACCATTTGTATGCTTCATAATTTGTATACTTAATATAGTAAGTAATTATTTATTAATATGATGGTTTACAAAAATATAAAACCTTGGAGTTTCATAGAGACCTGGTCTAATAGTCTCTAACAGATGTGGAAAGAAGGTCAAAGATGAGTTGAAAGGACTAGTTTATTGTGATTTGTCACCCATTTATTTTATAGAATATTCTTTAAAGGATGTATTAAAAGGCACGATTGTCTACAAACAGTATCAAAATTTTGCTTTAACAGTGTTTTCAACATTTTAAATCTTTCTGTAATTATATGAAGTCTTTATAAAGACTGAAAGTACTTGGCATAATTGGTTGGGAGTAATGTTTCCGAATGGATATTTATTTTCAAAAAGCTACTTTGAAATCACATTAGATACTATTTCAGTATGATACTTTGCTTTAATTTATCCCAGAATTCCTGAAAAGGATTTAGTTTGGTTTAAAAATAAACAAAACACCCCCAATCTGAAATGTATTTATTGAAACCAGATCTTGTCATCTATGGAAAACCTATCTTACTTTCTACTAGATTTTAAAATGATCACTGACAATAAATGCAGCATGAAAATCCTATGAAGAAAAAAAAAAAAATCCTGTGAAGCCCACATACGTAAAATAATTTTTTTTTTTAAGATTTTATTCATTTATTTGACAGAGAGAGACACAGTGAGAGAGGGAACACAAGCAGGGGGAGTGGGAGAGGGAGAAGCAGGCTCCCCGCGGAGCAGGGAGCCCGATGCGGGGCTGGATCCCAGGACCCTGGGATCATGACCTGAGCCAAAGGCAGATGCTTAACGACTGAGCCACCCAGGCACCCCGAATTTGGTAAATATAATAAAGGTAGCATTTCAAACTTAGTGAGGAAAGATTATTCAGTAAATAATGTTGGGACTAGTGAGTATTCATCTAGGAGAAAACAAAGTACAAACTTCACAAATATTGAAATGTAAAACTGAAAACATAATAGGTATTAGAAGAAACCACAGGAGAATTCTTTTATAAACTGCATGGGAAATGACAGTCTATGTCTGATACATTAACTAGAAGCCATAAAATGATTGATAACAATCCACCTATATGAAATTCGTACACTTCTCTGTGCCAGAAACCACCAAAATAATTCATCAGTCTGGAAAAAAAAAATTGTTTCTTTGCAACTCATATTACAAAGGGCTAATTTCCTTAGTATATAAAAAGCTCCTTCAAATTTATTGTAGACAAAAAGTGCTTTCCTAAAAATGTTCCTACAAAACAGTAAGAAAATCACAAGCAACCCAATAGAAAATGGACACAAGTTATGATTTAACAGTTCACGGGGAAATATAAATGGCTCTTAAATGTATAAAATGATGCTCAACTTCATTCATATGAGAAATGTAAATTAAAATTACATTGAGATAACCATTTTTTTTTTTTTTAAACAGATACGTTTTCTAAAAATAAAAAAGCTTGATAACAATGGCTGGCACAGAATCTGGGATCTGGGACCACTATGAAATAAAGGAGAGCCTCTTCAATCAGGAAGTTAGTCTGAGCTGAGTGAGGGAAATAGAATCCTCTTGCACTTCTGGTGGGAGGGTAAGAGGTACAACAACCTCAATGGAGGGCAGTTTTCAGGCACCTTGCAAAATTACAAATGCATGTTCGGTTTGACCTAGCAGTTCTCCATGTAGGAATTTATTCTAGAGATATAGTCATACAAGAGTTTCACTGCATTATTTGTAATAGCAAAAAATCGGGAGTGACCTAAATACTCCTATACAGGGATCAGTAAATCAGTTGTGGTGGAATTCCATGCAGCTGTAAAAAAAGAAGGGAGCCAAGGAGAGAGAATGGCATGTGTGGTGTTAAACATTATGTAAAAAAAGGGAGAAATCAGAATACACACTGAACTACTTCTGGGTGAATATGAGGGAAATAAATCACATTCATTTTTATGGAGTGAGAACCGGTAACTGGGGCACAGGGTTGGAGGGAGATTTTTGTCACTCTTGTTCTTTTTGTGTTTGGACCTTCAAATGAAGGTATGATCTCTTGAAAAAAAATAAGTTCTAAGATATAAAGTTTCTTGAAAAGTTTGAGCATTAAATAATAATTGTTTTAATAAAATGTTTTAGTTTCTTTGCTTGAAAAGTAGCATCGCTTTAAGGGGGAAAAAGTGGGCCGTTGAGGGGGAGCATGTGTGTTTAATTTAATTGCCTCTTCCGCGGTAATAAAAATCGGTCACTTGTGATTTGATGCAAGAATATATTAAAACCCTGTAGGAGACCGAGTTCGGAAGTTTGCTTTGAAGTTCGAGAAAAGAAGGGGTTAAGGGTGTGATGCAGGTAAAGGAAGGGTTAAGGACATTATGCAAGCTGTTAAGTAAAAAGGAAGTGCATTACAAAATGCTGAGCTCAGGAGTCTGGCTGCCAGCCAAGCCTTTGCTTTCTTCACTACAGCTGAGGGCTTTCGAAGCTTCCCACCAGTGGGTTTGTCTGAACTGTTTAGGAATGCGGCCGCGGTCGCCAGCTGACGTCAGCGCCGCCGGTTCAGCCGCGGGCCAGAGCCTGGGACTGACAGCGCGGGGGGGTGAGGGGCGGGGGTGAGTGGGACGGGGCGTGGCCTGCATGTGACTGACAGGGTGGGGGCGAGGCGGCGTGTGTGTGACTGACAGCTAGGGCAGGGTGGCGCGCGGGTTTGCGGTTCCTTAATGAACTCTGATTATTTTCCGTGTGGTAAGGTGAAAGACTTTTTTTTCTCGTTTTCGAAAGCCAGGGCTCTGTATTGCTTCTTTTTAAATAGCAAAAACCGAAATATTTGTAACTTAGGTATCAAATTGTCAGATTTCATGGGCCATTGTGTTGTTTGTGTTGTTTTTGTTTCTGAGGGGGAGAAACAGTAAAACTATGGCGATTTTTGATGGTGCAGGGGCGAGAGAGATGGTTTTTGCTGGATAATGAGGGTCTTGATTTTTTTTTTTTTTTACCTAAAGCCCATTTTATTTCAGAATTGTACTAGAAAGCAATTTAAAAGCTCCTAAATGCAGTTCTGTAAAACAGGACACCAAAAAGAAGAAATACTGTGCGGAAAACTGCCAAAGTTAGATACAGTTCTATTACAAACACCTTTGGGCATGATAGGTTTGGGTTATTGTTGCTGATACTTAAGCTCTTGACAAATGGGGACTTTTTCCTGGTGACATCTTGCAAAGATCAGGTTTAGTGTTGCATTTTCTCCCCTTACATCCTGTTTTCATGTGGTTAATTTTACTTTTAAAAACACTTGTATTTCTCAAAAAAACCACATTTGTATTTCTCGACTATTTAAGTATATCATTTTGCTTAGTTATATTCAAGAGTTTTGTTAATCTCCTGGTTAATGTGAGTCAGAGTCAGGAATGCAAGTTTATTATAACTGTGGTATATAAGGCTATGAGAGGTGTGGGTGGTCAGCATGGAGTGAAATACAACTTTATAAACAAGGGTCTAAAAGGAGCCGTTAAACTTGGTGGAAAGCTTTGTTGCTTGACCGGGCCAAAAGGGAAGTCTGCCTTGAGTGACTACCAGAATTATCTAGTGTAGTTAATTTAATTGAGTGGCTTTGAGTAACTGTTACAGGGACCCCAAATTTATAAGTTTATTATTATGACTTTCATTCAGTACAGGAGGTTTGAGCTTATTTTTTTTTTTTAAAGTAAGCTCTACACCCAACGTGGGGCTTGAACTCACAACCCCGAGATCAAGAGTCACATGCTCTATCTACTGAGCTAGCTAGGAGCCCCAGGAGGTTTTAGCTTTTCATGAAAGGAAGTCTTATGCCTATTTATCCTTCTTGTTAAGAGGCTGCTTCTGCATGATCTTGATCATTTCCTTAGGCATTGATGGCATTCACCTTCTGGAGTCAGTCACTATGATTTCACCTGTGTGTAGCAGCTTGGCGAAGGTGAAGTCAGCCTATACACCAGGAGCAAACAGAGCAATAAAAAATCAGGACCTTCTTTGGCAAAAGACAACATGCTTAGCCCTAAATTACTCAGAGGCTCAAGTGTTCAGCCTTAAATTGGCAATTCCACAGAATTTAAGAGTGTTCTGAGTTTGTGAATAGTATCATATTTATTTATTTATTTTCTTTTTAAAGCATCAGGCTACACGTTAAGGACTTGTATTTTTTTACTTAGGTATCTTTTGGTGATAATAATACATCTTATGCAGGTTAATATAAAAATATAAAAAGCTATAAACTATTCTTTTACATTAGATCCAAATATTAAGGTTATTTCATTTAACACATGCAGTATCCACAGGAATACCTGGCATATTCAACATTGCATTCGGAAAGAGGTTATGAATTCTTGCTGAAGTCACCAATTATATGACATTGTCCACTCACTTTTGATCACACTATGTCTTGGTTTCACCAGAGGGAAATGCTTGTAATTAGTTCCCCGCCTTAATAGGACTCAGGACAAAAAAGGTTATTATCAAGACATAAAAATTCTGAGCAATAATACAGTATGGTTGGGCTCCCTAGGCAGCAGAAGAGATAAGTTGGTGTAAGTCGTTAGTGATCTCCATTTCCCTGCTTGTGTGAAGCACCCAGCACTGTTGTTGTGAGGCCCTCGCTGGGCTCCCCTATGTTCTGGGAGTGGAGCCTGCGTACTTTGAGTGTGGATTTAGAATTAGAGTTTTCTTCTTTGCTTTTGCAAAAATTGTTATCATTTTTTCTAAGAACCCCTTCAAAACAATGGCGAAATTCTTACTGTCTTATTGAATGAGTCTATATTTGGAGTTTGTGGAAGAAAAGTATGACCTAGTTAATCAGCTGCTTTTTAAGCTCTATTACCAACTAAGGTGATCACATTTTAGGTTATAAAGGATGAGAGTATGGCAAAATTTGCTGTGCAGTGGTTGGTGTTATTGAAGGAGGAACCCCTTACTTGGAAGCTTTTGCCCAAAACTGCAGTATGTTTTTACTGCCCAAATACTATGATATATTTTAGGGATTTTCAATCTTGTCTTTAATAAGAACCCTTTAAAATTGCTTTAGTTAACCCATGTTTTAAAAGATATTATCAAGAAATACATTTGCATTTGTAATTACTGTGTGTTACAGTGAAGAAAAAAAAAACAAAGGCATTATAGCAGGCAATACTGAACTGCCTCAAATAACCAATATAACCACACTGAGTTGATTTAATTCCAGCCCACAAGAAAACAAAACTGTTGTTAGCCTTGTAGCTTACCCCTAGGAAATCTTTAATTTCTATTGGGTGGTTTGGTATTTTGAGCAAAACATGTAGATACTTTATTACTGTTTCCAATGAACAATAGGGGAGTGAGACTGGGACCCCTATACTGAGGCTTCATGATTAAAAGAGAAAAGCGTCGCAAAAGAAAGTTGAGCTACTTTTAATGCAAGGAAAGAGCTGTTGGATAGGTCAGAGTTGCAACTATCATACTTCAGATCTGGCGTCTTGTGTATTTGGAATGAAGTGGGAGGAAAGGCAGCATCCTTGGTGTGATCCTTTGAAGACTGATGGCTCAGGCATAGTGCCATGGTTTCAGTATGTTTCAGGACTTGAATTTAGAATCTTCTCCTCGCCTTTCCTCCATATGACGAAATGGTGATAGGAAGGCATTTATTGTTTACGTTATTTGAAGCAGCGGGCTGTACATTTGTGCTTTAGTTCTGGTTAGTGTTTTAACTATTTGCCCATTCCTTTTATGGGCTACTTCTTGGCTTTTATTGAAATGGTATCGTGAGGAGAGCAAGTTAAGCAGTGAAAACAGATTGTCGGAACCAGAAAAGAAGCACATTGTGCTCAATTTTCAAAACTCTTCTGTTAATCTCTGTTTTGGTTCCTAAGAGTATTGCTCAAGAATCTGTTTTCTTAGGAGTGTCCATCTCATCTTGAATATTAAATTTAAAATGGTTTATTGCAAATTTCCCCTTTGAGGCTGGTTTCATATATTGCTTTTCGTTTTGTTGTTGAAGGTATTTGTCATTAAAATTTATTTTCTGTTCTCATTCATTCACTGTTTTCTCAGGTACTTTTTGAACAACTGCTGTGTGCCACACTTTGTCAGGGGTTGGTTATATGTTGCCAAATAAAGACAGTTCTCTTGCCTGATGGATCTTTCACTGTAATGGAAACTGGACATAATAACGTATGTGTGAAGGAAGTTCCTGAGGGGGGAAGGACCTGATGTGAAAGGAACCAGCATTGGTTGGTGAAGTAGAGGAAGATGAGGGGAGAGTGATGCCGGATAAGGTAGGAGAAGGGGGCAGGGCAAGATCCTATAAAGTGTTTTTAAGGCATGGTATGTGAGTAGCTTTTATTCTGAGTGTAGTGGCAAGCCACCCCTTGGCTGCTGTATGGAGAATAGTTTGGTGAATGCAAGAGTGGAAGCAGGGCATCCAGTAGAGAAGAAAAGGTGGTTGCCGTAGTTTAGGCACTATTAGCTTGTGCTGTTGTGGGCTGGTGGAGATGGAGAGAAGTGGACAAATCAACAGGGTTTAGTTTTTGCTTTGAACACGGGGGTGGTGCCTGTTTACTGGAGGGGTTTGGGTGTGGCAAAGTAAGGGTTTAGTTTGGCACCTAAGTTTGAGTTATTCAGCAGAGAGGTCAGATAGGTAGAGTGACTGAAATCTTTTTTTTTTCTTTCACTCTGTAGAATTAGTTATGCTTTTAAAATTTAAAAGGATTTAACTCCTGCTTGTTGGGGTCCTAGTCACTTAGACTGAGATACTTTATAATAGGAGACTTCTGTCTTGTCTGTGGAAGGGGAAATAAATGGCAATAAACAACCCCTAAACTGAGGAACTCGGTGTGAAAGAACTCTGCTATGCCCATGACATAGGGTTGGGAGGTAAATAAGACTGTATGTTTCAGAGGAGTGAGCCCACAATACCTATTTTGATTAATGGATTTTTAAGGTGTTTTTTTTTTTTGCATATTTTTTGAATTATTTTTCTCCAAGGGATTTTAGGTGATTAAGGAAAAAGACATAATACAATAAAATTATAAAAGAGAAAAAATAAAGAATTATAGATATTTGCCCACTGATTAGTTGATGAAAATTAGAAATAGTGTACAGGTGTGTTTTTGGGATAGTGTTAAAATCAGTACATTGTTCCACTTTCAGTACATTTTTGTATTGGATAGAAGATTGATTGATTGATTGATTATTTTTTTTAAAGATTGTATTTATTTATTTGACAGAGAGAGACACAGCGAGAGAGGGAACACAAGCAGGGGGAGTGGGAGAGGGAGAAGCAGGCTCCCGGCCGAGCAGGGAGCCCGATGTGGGGCTTGATCCCAGGACCCCGGGATCGTGACCTGAGCTGAAGGCAGACACTTAACAGATGAGCCACCCAGATGCCCCTTTTTTTATTTTTTATTTTTTAAAGATTTTATTTATTTATTTGACACAGAGAGACACAGCAAGAGAGGGAACACAAGCAGGGGGAGTGGGATGTATTGGATAGAAGATTAAACAGTTGGTGTTTATCTTTTTTTGTTTTTTTTTTTCTTGTTTCTGCAGAGGATGCCATTGACCTATTCATGGTAGGACCTGCTTTTGATTTGTTTTTCTGGTACTGTTATGTACAGACATTCTCAAGTGATTCTCTGTAAAAACTAGTTACACATTTGTGATAGAGCCACTTAATAAATTTGTGGCCGTGGAACAGAACAAATAATGCTTCATTTGGCACTTTTCTCTTGTAGTTGAGATACCTGATTATATAGATTGGATTGGATTGGATTGGGAATGCTGTGTTTATTAGTCCAAGGTAAGATTTTCTTGAAGCTGGGGATATGGCAAATAGGGTTATAGGAAAATAGAACCAAAGACATTTAGTAACAGAAACAGAGGTGACCCAAATAATAGAAACTGCAATAAAAGTTGAACACTTTATTTCTTAGTTATACTAATCCCTTTCTCTGTATTATTTTATTCAAGCTTTAATCTTCACAATAGGGCTGTGAAATAGATGGCATTTGGATCCTCACTTGAAGATGAGGAAACTGGGTTGTGGGGAGGTTATTACTCATTTAAGAAGATAGAGCTAACACATGTAAATTGGGACTTGAACTCGAGTTTGGATTCAAAGCCCATGCTTTCAGTCACTGTTCTCTGTGGCTGGAACAAAACCAACAGTTCTGTGTTTCTTGTAGGCTTTTCTGCAGTCATGTGGTACACAGAGAAGTTAATGTGGTGGACCTCAAGTAGGCTTTCGCTTCTTAGAAGCCAAAATGTATGAAGTGGAGTCTTTAATGTAGAGGTACTTAGTATGTTATGGAGGGGGTATTGTTTTAGTGTATGTCACAGGAGTATTTGGGATAGAAATACTTGCTGATTCCTGTATAAGACTGTTGGTTGTTGCAATGGATAGGAGATGATAACTGGGATTGGCCACATAAAGATTCTGGGCCACATTTCTCTACAACTCACAAAGGTCACGGAGTTAGAAGGTAGTATCGCTAGTCACCTGAAAGCCAACTTTTGGTATGTGTTGCTGAATGAGCTTGAGTTGGTTAATGTATATACTGTATTCTACTTCAGAAGGAATAGTTAGGTCTTTAGAACTTGTTCGTCTTCGTCCTCCTCCCCCTTCTGTTTGTTTTAAACAACTGAGAACTTTAAGGGCAAAAAGCCTTCATAAAAAATTTACCAATGAAAGGTAATGGGAGCTTAAGTTATTCAAGATAAGCTTATCAGGGTTTGGAATACCAGCAGCTTGATTTTACTGTAAAACCAAAAGCACAGATCATAATCTTTGTCTAACCTTCTTACGTGTGGGTTGGGGAGAGAAGTATGCAGATTGTAGGAATCACTGAGGACAGGAAGGGCAGGTAGAAGTAGGCTCTCTGCACATGAGCTTGTAGAACAAAAGGCATTTCTTTGTTGCTCAGTGAGTCCAAATGCTGGGAAGGAATGTAGAGAAAGGAAGCAGAAAGGCTTGGGTCTCACAGTGCTGCTCTACTTGCTCATACCTCATAAAGGCCTTCTCAAGATGTGTCAATTCTGGTTACCCTCGGGATTTTCCTACTGGTGAAACTTCTCTTCATATAGCTTCATCTTTTCCCCCCAGAAACTGTGAGACTTCTTGAAATTTGTAATAAAAATTTTAGATACTCCAGCAGTAATTTCCAGGAACCACAGCCTCTGATATCATGCTGCTTTTGGTCTTTTCTCTTCGGTGATTATATACGTGTCAGAGCTTATATACTTCTGATTTCCTCCTGGGGGTGTGATAACATACTGTTTCTTGATTCTCTCAGAAGCGATGAGTGACCAGCAGGTAGGTTTTTTAGCCACCTGATTAGGACCTCATGCCAATGAGATTAAAGCAAAGGTTTCATCCCCATAGGTCCATCCCCATGGGAGTGATTTAGTATAGCTCTGCCACCTCCTTTGGCCCCACATAGCTCAGTAGCCCTAGCCTGCTGCCTTGCCAGCTACCACTCTTGGATTGCAAGACAGAATTAATTGAAAAGATAGATGGTCAAAAATAAGTAAGTTACTAAAGCTGGAAAAACATAAAGCCCACGTGAAAGAACAGAAGGGAAGTGAACAGGTGTGGAGGAAATGAATGAGAATGATGGATAGAAAGAGTCAAAGAGATAGTGCCTACATTTGGTTGGATTAAGTGAAATTAGGTTGGAACTGCTGTTGTAGAAATGAAAAGGACAAGTAACTTACTGCCTATCTTTGCTAAAGGGTCTTGCTTCGGTATATATTATCTACACTGAACAGGTTTAGAAGATTACTAAACTAAAATTATTCAACTATGCCAACTGAATGCCAACTAAGATAGTTTGAATTCAGTTTCCAAAGCTGATTTTTTTGAGTATATATTGATACAAGTTTGAAAAAAAAGTCTTCACATAGGTAGAAAAGCTGTTTGTTCTTTTCATACGAGTATCTGTCTCAAATATTGTTAGAAGTCACAGTATTTCAGTTTAGAATTGATGAACATAGGAGCTGGAAAGGCTACTGAACAGGCTGTGACTGCAGTGTGAGTAGAGTCTGAAAGAAATGAAAAGCAAAAACTCACCAGAAAAGGTCCATGTTAGTATGTGCTTTTCTTAGTGTTCCAGATTGTTAACAGTATAATTAGATCCTTACCTCTTAAGAGTGTACTTTTTAATTTGTGCTGTTAGGAAGGATTTTTGTTTTGAAATATTGCAAATGAATATCTTTTTCTCTACTTAAAAACTGGTATACTCGGAATTTTGAACAGTGGGTGGATTATTGATCTGTGAATTTTTGAAGCAGATTGTACATCTCATAGATTTTGCTATTTAAGCAAAATATGTGACTTTCTTAATAGGAGGCTCTAAGAAAGTCCTTGAGTCCAATTGAAAACCATTGAGGATATCACAGAAGAGTTGAGGTTTTGTTTTGTTTTAAAGATATATTTATTTATTTTAGAGAAAGAACGAGCATGTGCAGGTGGTGGAGAGGGACAAAGGGAGAGGGAGAGAGAGAATCTCAAGCAGTCTCCCTGCTGAGTGCGGAGCCTGACTCCTGGCTTGATCTCACAACCCAAGATCACGACCTGAGCTGAAACCGAGAATTGGTTGCTTAACTGACTAAGCCACCCCGGTGCCCCAGAGGAGTTGAGTTTTAAAATAGAAGTTCCTTCGAGGAGATCTAGTCATCCCATCAGTTAAAAAATGAGGTACTGAGGCAATGAGAAATTAAGTGGACGGTAAAGGACAAAAAGTAGTCAAAGAATCATAATGAAGACTCCAGGCCTTGACTTGGATTTCAGTTCTGTTATCAGCACCAGTTAGGTGCTTTGAACATGGATAAAGCTAAAGGAATAAGAAATGACAAGTGCTTTTGTTCACGGGACTCATAAAACCTATCTGGGGGCTTTGCAGGTGTCAATATATTTTTTTTTTATTTTAAAGATTTTATTTGGGGGGTGGAGAGATTGTGTGCGTGAGCAGGGGGAGGAGCAGAGGGGGAGGGAGAAGGAGGGGAAACATTCTCAAGCAGACTTGTGCTGAGTGCAGAGCCCCATTCAGGGCTTGATCTTAGGACTCTGAGATTGTGACCTGAGCCAAAAACCAAGAGTTGGACACTTAAGTGACTGAGCCACCCAGGTGCCCTGAAAGTATCAATAATTTTCAAACAAAGAATTTGATGCCAGACTAGTCTATTTTATTTAAATGAAACCTTTTAGTACCTAGCTAGATGAATGAGATGGGAAGACACAGAAACAAATGTTTCAGAGGGAAGTGGTATGGATGGTGATGGACGTGTGGATGTGATACTTTTTTTTTTTTTTTTAAACTAAAGCATGGGTTATTTATTTATTTATTTATTTGACAGAGAGAGAGAGAGAGAGCTGAAGTAGGCAGAGAGGCAGGCAGAGAGAGAGGGAGAAGCAGGCTCTCCGCTGAGCAGGGAGCCCGACGTGGGGCTCGATCCCAGGACCCTGGGATCATGACCCGAGCCGAAGGCAGCCACTTAACCGACTGAGCCACCCAGGTGCCCCTGGATGTGATACTTTAAGTACACAGACAAGTGGATGGCTTGTTCTGTAAGATGTTCCTTTAAATTCTTTGGTGTAAAGATACAGCATTATTAGAGAAATAATGCCTGATTTACTAAGATACCTTGCTTTCACATCCATCAGCTCCTGTTTATGATTTAGTTGGTGTAGTTTCCATGCAGTGATAAGCTCTTTTTTTCCCCAGGAAAGCTATTGTGACGTATAGAACAGAGTTGAGTTATTTGCCCTTCATAGTTGATGCTATCAACAGTCACTCATTAGATTTGGCTGACCAGAGAGTCTGCAAAGATTGAAAGATTATTCTGTGATTATCTTTTGGTCGTATTACTTTCGATGGTATCACATCTATTCTAGTTCCCATCACTGCTGTGCTCTGGGCTTGAGATTTAGTTGATTTTCTTTTTCATTTGTGCTTACGTCTACAACATTAAGACGTTAACATTTAGCTTTGCTTCCCATCTTCATGGTCTAGAACTGAGTTGCCCACTAATTTAGCCTCTTACCACACATGGCTATTTAAATTTAAATTAATTAAAGTTAAATACAGTAAAAGTTCCGTTTCTCAGTTATGCATTTCGAGTGCACAGTGACCACAGGTAGCTAGCAGCTACTGTATTGAACAGTTCAGGGGTATAAGAACATTACTGTAGAAAGTTATATTAGACAGCACTGGTCTAGAGTATCATTCATCATCCATACAATGCAAACCTTTCGGAAAGCCCTTAGGACAGTGTTAGTAAATGGCCATTGCCGCCTGGTTGCATTCATCACAGAAGAGGATTTGCAACAGATAATGGGGATTTTTCAAAGCTGGAGTTAGGTGTGCAACTGGGTTAGAAGTAGCCATGATTTTATTAATAGATTTTGTTAATAGATTAATAGATTTTACTAATAGGAAATTGCAACCAGAAGATCTAAGTTGAAATCCAGCTCTGCTCCTTACTAGCAGTAGGGACTTGGGCCAATCATTTGATGTCTTTGAAATTCAGTTTCTTCACTTGTGAAATGAGGATCTATTTCATAAGATTGTTGAGAGTGTCAAATGCATTGGAAAGTAGATGATAAACTGTAAAGTCTCTGTAAGTGTATGGTATGTACATGCATTAGGAACTATGTGTCCCAGCGGTGTTAATTTGCAGTAGTAATCTTTAAGTTCTGTCTTCTTGCTTGGAAGGCATCACACTGCACTGATTGATAAAGAACTAGAAAATAACCACACAAACAAGCCAACATGTGCTTTAGAGATCAGGAAATGATCTAAGGACCATGTTAAAGTTGAAATGATACTAGTGCCCTAGCTTCTTAACAGTATATCTAAAAGTTCTAACAAACATTTCACTTGCTTCTGGACCAGTAAGTGACTCATTTAACATCACATGGGAAGAAAGATCACTTACAATAAGGTTTTTAAATGTTCTCTATATAGAAGTTTCTAGTGTTTTTACCAAGCTACATCATTTTTCTGATCTCACAGGGAGTTGGTGCACAGCATTAGTCATTATCCTTATTATATGGCATGTCAGACAAGTTGCAGCAGTGGAACGGGGGTGACTGGCGTGTGGAGTGGGTAGTGTGTGAGGAGTTGTTCTTTGGATCAGTCTGACTTGGTCACTCATTATTAAGAAGCAATTACAGAGGTTGCATTTGTGCTAGTTTCTTATCTTAGAACATGAGAAATGAAGTACATGAGGCAACCTTCTGTTAGTAAAGAATACACATAAAATCTTCAGGAAGTGATACTGCTCCAAATCAGATGGCACCACCCAGATGGTAAGTTTCACTTTGTTTATTCCAACCCTACATTCCACTGTCATTTGGATGGTTATCTATGCATTCAGCACTGCACAAATTATACAAGCCAATGAATGAGCCTTCTGCCCAGAATCATCAAGTGAAAACAAGAATGTTAGAAACCAAAAAACATCTTATATGTTTAAAAGTTCAGTTTTTTGTTTTTATAAAATTTTATCCCAGTCTAATACTGAATGTTGACCCTAGCGGACAACATTTTATCCCTCAAAAGCCCCCTCCTCCATGAACCTTTACTCCCCTCCCCACCCCCACTCCCTGTCTCCCACAAATGAACTGCCCTTTCTCTGTTTTTTTAAACTTTGCTTCTGCCTTTGTTATTACTAGCCCTTTCTTCCTCCATTACTTCCTTCCTTTGGTGATGACAAGTTTTGAAGTAGGCAGGGTGCCTATGGTTGTTACCTCAAGACTCCAGTTTTTGAAGGGTAAGGGACTGTCTTGAGAGCGAGGAAGTAAAGTTTGCTGTGCAGGCTTTGATGGCAGACAAAGGATTGAGGGTGGAAATTAGAAGGAGATGGACTTTAATATAAGGAGTATCTTTTTCTGTCTTTCTGAAAATAAAATGAACTGCTTAAGTGTTTGAGCTGAGGCTAGGTAACTATCAGGCATGAAGATATAGGGCAGAAGGCTTGATTAGGTCCCTTTTTTGGTAATTACTAGTTTGGAGAGAATTAGGATTATATATATTGGGAACTTGAGGGCAAACCTAAGGGAGAAAGTCAAGATGTGGAGCATATCTCCCGAGGTGGGGGATAGAGAGGGAGCCAGGGCTTAGACCCAGGCCTTGCCCAGAGACAGCAGATGCTGATGGGGGCTCTTGACTTTCTCTTCAGACACTTCAAGGTCCATTTTCATTCACTGCCTCTAGTCTTGAGCTTCATCCCAGCTATTTTTCAGGGTCCTGGGAGCAGGCTTCACTTTTGGATTTGTCCTGGCTCTAGTACCAGTAGGCTGTCCATGCTATGGGATCACTCTTGTTGGGGAGATAGTATAACATCGTGGTTTACGAGTATGGATCCTGTAGTCCTAAGATTGAATCTTGACTCTCTGTGCAACTTTCAGCAAGTTAATTCTTTTTTGTGCCACAGTTTCCTCATCTGTAACTATAAAGGAATATCTGGGAATAATAGCATATTTTATCAACACTCACACCATTGTAAGAAGCACCATTGCTTTACTCTAAGAAACATACACTGCCCATTTAATTATGACACATCGCATTTCAGGGAGGTTAAAATAGAGAAAAACCTACCTCTTAGGATTGTGGTGAGGAGTAAGTTGGTATTTGCAAAGCACTTAACACTAGTATCTGATACAAAATAAGTGTTCCAGGTGTTAGCTGTTGTCTACTCTTGAACCTGTTGTATTTAGAGAAGTTAATTTAGTCATCTAGTCAGTGTTTATGAAGCACTGTGCTTGGAAGACACTGTAGCTCTAGACTACAATCCTTGCTCTTAGGAACCGTATATTCTAGTTTTGGAGAAACTCACAGAAAGAGAGAAATCCTCATTCAGCCCAAAAATATGGACATAATTCTTTGGGAGCAGAGTATAGGGTATAAGACTAACTTTGCCGGGAGAGTCAGGAAAGGCTTCATAGAGTCAGTGGCATTTCAGCTTAATCAGGAAGCATAACAAAAGGGCTCACCGGAAAGAGGAGGCCATCAGAGAAGGACGGTGCACGCAGAGGGAATAGCTTGTGTAAAGGCATAGGGCTTAGAGTCAGCATGACTACAAAGTTGAGGGTGTGTGTATGGGGGTGGTGGTGGCAGCAGGTAAATATCAAGAGGTCAGCTCCCCCAGATTGCGAAGGATCTTGTGTGCCAAGCTAGGGAGTCTGAACTTCACATTCTGTCCAGTAGCAAATGGGTGGATAACTGGAGGTTTTAAGCAGTGGAGTGATGTGAGCAGAATAGCTTTTTTCCCCTTCTGTATTGTTACTGCACATTCCTACCTTGTTGAAGCAGGATCTGCTCTTTTACACTCAGCTGTGGAAGTGTGGAGGCTGCTTTTAAACCGTTCTTTGACACAGGTATCCCTTCTCTGTCACAGTGAAGAAAGCTATTGTTTGCTTTCCAAGGCTATAAAATGATAATACAATGAAGCCTCTTTCTCATAATACTATTTAAATATAAGCACTGTATTTACCAAATTAGGTGGCAGAACACTAGAGTGATGCATATACACTTTTTATATTTAAAATTTAAAAATACGGTAATTTCAAAACTACAGAAAAGTTGTGCAGATAGTAAAGGCTATTTGTAAACTTTTTGCCTCTGTTCACTTAACATTTTAGCCTATTTATCATTGAGCTCTTTTACTTTCTATACACACACACACAACAGTTTTTTTCTGAACCCTTTGAGAATGAGTTTCATGGGGTTATTTTCTTATGAAACCACCATAGAGACAGTACAGTGGTCGTCTGTATAAATTTACAGTGTTAAATTACACTGATGAAACTTTTAAAACTAATTACTAATTTACTCTTTATATTCCAGTTTTTTCAGTTGATCCAATAATGTTCTTTATAGGTCGTACCCGCCCCCCCCTTTTCAGTAACAGGACCCAGTCTAGAATCAGGTATTGCATTTAGTTCTCTCTCTTTAGCCTCCTTTAATCTGGGATATTTCTAAAGACTTTATCTTTTATGACAGTTGACATTTTTAAAGAATAGAATCGTCCCTCTCTTTCTAATGGGATGTTTCTTACTTAGTTTTCTCACGATGTGATTCAGGTTAGGTATTCCCTGCAGAATGCTACATAAGTAATGTGTTCTCAAGGATGGGTATCACATCTGGAGGCACAGGAAATCCACTGACTCTCCTTGGTGCTGTTAACTGTGATCATTACTTGGTCAAGGGTTTTCCAGTTTGTTCACTATATAGTTACTATTTTTTCTAATGAGCATTCTGTGGGGAGTGTGAACATATCCTGCTCCTCATCAAAATTTCCCCTAGACTTGGCATCTACAGGTGATTCATGCTTGAACTACTCTTCCCTATAATAGTTGCAAAATGTTTCAATTATCTATATATATATATTTTAAGTTTGGTGTTTTTTATAAAAATTCTAGTGCATGTATTTCTTTTTTAGTAGTAATCAAACAGCTATTTTAATAAAATTCTTATCTTGTTAAACATCTTACATTTACAATGATTCTTTCTGACTTAGTTAATAAAAATGGGATTTGGGGGCTCTTGGCTGGCTCAGTCGGTAGAGCATGCAACTCTTGATCTCAGGGTCATAAATTCAAGCCCCACGTTGGGCCTACAACTTACTTTAAAAAACAAAACCCAAACGGGATTTTATTGTCCAGTCCACCATGTCTGTCATGTTGAGAAATCCTTTCTAGTACTGAAGAGGACCTCCTTAGTTCCTTTGTACCTTCTTGATGATGGCTCCTGGACAGGTTAGAGAGGAGCTTGCTAGATTTTAATATTATCATTGGAGGGGACTGGGACCATAGGAGACTTACGTTTATAATGGGCAGTACCTAAAGGGGCTCTAACTTATATAGGACTTCCTAAATCTTTTAATTTATTAGTGCTCTAGGCATTTTCCTGGGCAAGCCACCATTTTGGTGATTCTCTTAGGCTACTTTATTTTCAAAATTACAGGGATGGCAGAAATACATCAAGGGATATAGAACATAGTCATAGTTCATTAAATGTCTTCATATTGTTGTAACCTCTTCTGCTCCAGCTTTTACATGTTGGTTTTTGTTTAAAATGGGCTTCACATGTTTGCTTTCTGGGTAGCTGTGCTTTTTAATGACTATGGCCTGTGCCTCTCACTGTGGCTGACTGTGTTACTAGTCACGAGGAGGGGAAGATGAAATACTGTGAAGGATTTACTACAGGTCCATTGCTACCACTATAAAACCAATTCTCAGTAATATAGAGAAAAAGTTACTTCATTCCTTGGGTTTGTTACATTTTTATCACTTTGTGTTTTGAGATGGCAGGGAAGATCAACCTCAGTTATAAACAATCTGTGGCTAGAGGGACAGTGAGGTGTTGCTGCTCATTTGAGGTGCAGATTCTGAGACATTTAGTGAGTGCCTACTTTG